GGATGTTTCCAGCAGCAACAGGGTACAAACTGTAAATAAATCAGCTCTGTGGAACAGAAAAGCAGATGTTTAGCACAATGTCAAAGCTGCTCTTTTACATTCACTGAAAGTGGATGGTGACCAGGGGCTGTCAAGCTCCAAAAGAGCCAGAAAATTACCAGACTTCTGAAGGCATTAGATAGGAACAGATTGATTTAGGTCGTAATTTACTGCAAATATTGGTATAAGCTTTGGTCACCCTTCACTTTCGTTGTACAGAAAAGAGCAGTCTGATCATTCTGCTATAACTCCTTTTGCATTCCTTGGATGAAAGTACGTTGGTTTTCGAAACACATGACGATGAGTAAATGATGACATTTTAGTTTTTGAAAATAGGCCTTGTTATCAGGAACACGGTGTGTTTCTTCACCTCCTGTGAAGCAATACTCCCAGCTGGTGTGGATAGCTCACATCAACAGTATATTACTGTTCTGTCTGATGCATGACGCCTGCAGATGGGTGTTGACGGAGTCCAGTTGTTTAAACCTAAACTAGCGCATTACTCAAGAACTGAGGAAGTTCCAGTCTAATGTTTTGGCCTGGGGAATAGTATTTTTATAGACATGCTCAAAATCAGGGGGTCCATGAAACATTTACTCAGATGTAATGAACGCTAGAGCTCTTTGGAGCAAGATGCAAGGATACAATGTTCAGATTACACTTATAATGTAATAATAGTGTTTGTTCAAATTAAGTGTGTTCACAAACAGTGTGGAATGGCAACTATTTCTTATAATGCTCATCTTGTCTAATTATCTCACTAAGTAGCAATAAATGTACACTACCAATCAAAACGAGGGACAATATTTTTTATTTCTTCTATTCAGCAAGGGTGCATTAAATATATTGAAAGTGGCAGTAAAGGCATTTAAAATGTTACAAAAGATTAAAATAAATGCTGTTCATTTGAACTTTCTATTCATCAACCTCCTCCCCCCCAAAAATTATTCTACAAAATTATTAAGCCACATAACTGTTTTTGACATTGATAATAATTAGAAATGTTTCTTAAGCAGCAAACCAGCATATAAGAGTTATTTTTCTGAAGGACCCAGTGACAGTGAAGACTGGAGTAATGACTGCTGAGAAACTTCTGGCTTGTCAGAAATCACATTTTCACAAATCACAAACCAATTTTATCCGTTGCAATCACAAAAATAGTACTTGGTTGAAAATAAAATATTGGGATCCTTTATCAAGTGTCTGTCACGGTCTGCCTATTGTGTAGGAGCGCGGAGCGAAGGAGCGAGGAGACGCAGAGACGTGGGAGAAGCTTAGAAGAGTCTTTAATAAACAAAACCAGGGAAACACACACATAGGACATCGGGCTGACGTATAAGACTGGACGCAGGACTCAGGAAAACACAGGGCTTAAATAAAGGAACTAAACGAGGGAATTGACAAGAAACACCTGAAATCAATGGACACAATCAAACACCGGAGAAACTGGGTCATGGGGAGCACATGGGGAGCAAAACACAAGACATGGAACACAGGGGCAGTCCAAGGGCGTGACAGTGTCAGGCCTTTTAAAATTAATTAATTATTAATTAATTAATCATAAATAAATACATAAATGAATAAATAAATAAGAATAACTAGGCTAAATAAAATTGTTTAAATGTTATAAAATACAATTAAAAATGTATAAAGCTATAATATATATTACACAAAAGTTCACAAAAATAAATTTATACTATATATGTTTATAAATATATATTAAATAAAATTAAATGTGAAGGAAAAACCAAACAGTCAACCAACTAACTACAAACAAACAAATAAATAAAAAATACACACAAGGAGAGTAACAACAACTAATGCGAACAGGAATTTCTGTAGTTCTGAATAGCTGTCGGTACTCTCCAGACACAAATACGTCAACTGGGACAGACATGGGGGTGTCGCACGAGGATCAGTGGGCACAATAGCTGAGTTAATGAGCGCAAACATAGCAGCATCTGTGCTGTCAGATTCCTCCAGTCATGGCTCCCACACACATCAGATAAAGCTCACCCATGGGCCCGAAGAACTGAGGACTTCATGAACTGAACAACCTTGTTAACAGAAATATGACTTCAGCATACTGAGTATTTGGAAGTAAATAATGGGGGTGTTTTCTCATTATCAGTCGCTTTATAAAGCATCATGATTTGGCCCAACCAACAATATTGTGCAGCCAACTATTTTTATGCACGCTGGTAATGTGGCAACTAAATAGCATTTTTATGTCATAAAATCAACTGTTTATTGTTCAGAAAACAGAAAAAAAATGTGTGCATTTTTTTAGGCCTACTTAATGGCCTGCTGAATTTGCTCACTGAAAAAAGAAAACAAACCATGCTTTTCATAAATAATTGATTCCCAGTTGTAAAACTGAACAGCCCATGCTTTGCTCCTAGTGTTACTCTAGGACATAATTGTGGTGAACGCACACCCTAAAAATGATATCTTAAATCGCGGTCAGGCGAGTGGACAGAGAGCCATGATTGGCTGAGGGACAATTATGCGGAAACTCCTACTTTCTCCCTGAGATTCTGATCTGTTTCTGTCAACTGGAGGCATTTCAATAGGTAGCGCACAAACACGACAGCCACAGGGTTTGGATTGAAATCTTACAGATATGTCTCTACAGGCCATTAAATCATCATTTCTACAGCCCGCATGGGATTGTGCTTAAAAGAACTTGGAGAATGAATCCAAGAATAAATGTATTGCCTTTCTTTCCCGAAAGCCCCAAGGATTTCTTTTAAATATGATAAAACACTTAAGTAGAGCTTAAAATGCAGATGCAGATCTTGTCCCTTGAAATCCATCACGATGCTAAACTAATCATTTTTTCATCGTTTGTCATTTACTGACTGACTTAGAAAAATAAGTAACTAGTGAGAGTGGAATTTGACCGGTATAGGCTTTATAATGAGATGAGACCCAGTAAAACGGCATTATGTTGCTCATATTTAATATATCTTGTCATCCACATAAACTTCTAATCTCATAGAATTTATTTATTATTTGATTTCAAAAGAATTAATGTATTATTTGGTGAGCATTGCACCCCCGCAAAAGACCAACACTGCTCAAGGCCATATAGTCTTGAAAAACATTTGAGCAATTGCGCCACCTGCTGGTCAGAACATGTAATCAACATGTACTCTGAATTCATAGTCCACAGCATAAAGCTCAACCCAAAGAAACCACCAGAAAACAACGTCAGAATCCAGAGACATTATTACATTAAACCTACATAAATGTACTGTTTTATAAGTAGAAATAAGTGGTAAAGCATTTGCATTTGTACTTTCTGTACTGAATTTCTGTACCTAAATGTGTATTTTCTAGTCTGCTTTAATGTGCAGAAACCATGGAGGTCCATTTTTGACATGTTCAAAAGAGAAAATTAAAAGACTGGAATCAGAGTGTTTATGGACAGCCATAGGCCTACATGAATAAAACATTGATGTTTAAGCCATTGGAGGCAGTAAAACAGTTATGTAACAATCTGTTTCTGACTCTCTAGCTTTCTAACAGTACACAAATCCGACTGTAATTGCTGTGATTTATGTTGTAGAACAACATTTAGAAGGCTCTTCAATGTAAATGTTAACTACAGACTTAATTTTACGCAAAAGAAAATGAAAACTGCTCATCTAAAAACCACGCTAATGCTAAAATAGAAAATAAAGTCTAAGTCTAAAAGAAAGTTTCAACAAATTTCTGTATTTTTTTTTGTATCAAACTGGGGAAATGCAGTTAGAAGCAAATATAGTCTACATATGTCTTTGGTACTGAAATATTAAATAGCTGAATCACACTGTATACCTTTTCTTTTTTAAAATAATATAATAAATATATAATTCTAAACAAGATTTATACACTTATTTTGAATTTATTGAAACAACAAAATTAACTGTTGTTTTTTTTATTGTAAATTATTAATTTGGTAAGATGGTTATTTAGTTTAGTTGACTGTGTTCTTGTTTATACGGCACCATAACCCTGCACAATTTTGAGGATCTACAAGATGCTTAACCACATCTTTGCAATTTTGTATTATTACAGAATAAGACAAAGTTGTTTTTCTAATGAGTTCCCACTATAAATATCTCCAGATAGATGGAACATGTATATTTTTCCAAGGAAGGAACATTCCCTATATAATCAACGGAACAAGCAAACAATGAGCCCAGTTTGAATCTCTTTGATGAAGATGGATTCAAACTCACTGGGGAGAGCACTGCTTGCTGCGGTGGATTTACAAACGTTAGAAACAATAGTCATTGTCATATGTTAATTATTAAGGAATATTTTACCTAGAAATTACAAATCTCATTTAGCCTACTCATTTACTTACCCTATAATGCCACTCTAGACCTGTATAACTTTATTTGTCTGTGGAAAACAAAGGGAGAAGTTAAGCAGAATCTAAATTTAGTTATAGTTTAATACAGTTAAAGTAAATGGGGTGGATGCTGTCTGTAAAGCTTCAAAAAGGACAAAAAATAAATAAAAATCCAGACGTAAACAGTTTCCAGTGTGTTGAAGAGATATACTGAGGATCAGACTAAAATTTAAGTTGTTATGATAATCTTCTTCTTATGAAACTAATAATAATTTTTGGAGCTAGCCACATGTCATTTAGTAGGCTACTTATGATGACACAAATCCAAAAATTCCGCAACTTTGTTTCATTCTACAGTACAACACGGAAAAGTTTACTAAGTAAACGTATAGCTTTAGAGGAACATTGAACAATATACTCATACTTTGCAATAAAACACGAGTGGTTAGTTAATATGACATAGCCTGTTACTTATTTTCTGAAAACCTAAACATGTCGAAATCATTTTGTATACAGTTTAAAGGCAGAGTAAACGATTTCTGGTAGCCAATGTTGATATTTGAAATCACCAAAACAAACATACAGGGCGGTGACGTTGACGACCGGACGTGATGACGCAGGTCCTCTAGCCTGTATACGTGCGCGTTCTCGAGTGAGCTCGGAACAAGTAGAGGACGACGAGGCTTCAGTCCAAACCGTCTTTGCCTCTGGAAACAGGCCCGATATTTACGCTGTTACGTATTTAAAAACATTTAACCATGAGAAGGAAGCTGTTTGGCGTAATTCTCGCCGTTTGTATCGGTTGGTTCAAAGCCGAGGCTCTGACAGGTAAGGCGTCTCGTTTTTCTGTTGATCATGTAAGTTAGCTCACGAGCTCGTTTTTCACAGGCCGTCTGTTGACACAAACACGACCTAGACGACAGGTCGACTGTATTTACCGTACAATAAAGTAAAATACACTGAATATGAACGTTTGAAATGGCCTGCAATGTTTAAAGGTCGTGTTAATGTTAATGTTTAAATCGTCGGCAAACTGTCGCGCACGAGCCCACGGGGAAACGACTCGCGCATGGAGCTATAGCAACAACAGCTGAATAGTTTTTACTCATTAAAGCTCTTTAAGTCTTCTTAAATCCCAACTCGTAGGAAATATGTATCCATGCTGTTTTTTTCTTGTACAAGAACCTTTAATCCCAATTCAGTGTTGTAACCTAAGTTACACATTTCCCAAAATTGGAGATCTTCTCTCAGAGGATTATGCTGCTTAGTTGACCTTTAATTATTACAGGAAGGATTCAACCTAACTTTGCTAGTTAAAATGTTAATGGCTGTCCTCTTCCCTGGCAGGTCCGTTACTCCAGTGAATGATGTCTTAAACACAGTAAGCAGCAGGCAGCCATGACAACCGGTGCAGACTAGTTTTCTAGAGGCCCGCTGTCAATCTAGTAAAACATCAGTTGAGAGTAGCCTGTAATCATAAAATGGAAACCGAGGGAGGCAAAACATGTTTGTCCAATCATGAAGGAGGAGGCAGTAGGGCAGCAATTTTCATCTTTTAGTCTATCCCTGTTCAGTAAAAGGCTTAGCTTAAGCTCATTATAATGTTCCATCACTGGAAATGGCACAGGAATCCACGCAAACCCAATGAACTTGTAGGCGATCAACCGTTGCTTACTTACGGTAATGAAAGTTAGCAGTTTAGTTGGAAATGTCAGTCATGTACTGCGAAATTTGTATTTAAATATATGAAATAACCTTTCCATCCTTTTAGATAAATCAGTTGGTTTGCATGATGAATGAAAATGGCAGAGTAATGAAACTGATTTTGCGTTGTGGTCTGGCACCATCATAATTTTAGTCCCCCAGCAGCAGCTGATGAATAGCATTGTTAAATCCAAACCTAATCAGCTTCATGCTCTCAGTTAGAAATAGAGCGCTAAACACCCTAGGAGGTGCTTTTCTGCACGTAAGCATTGATACTTCCTCAAAACGGAACAATCTGTGCAACAAGTTTACTCATGCTGTTCTTGAGTCGCCACATAGTACATAATGCTACGGTAGAACGTCCAGCTGGATGGTGGAAATTCATCTCCAAATCAGAATTAAAATTAGATTTTCCCCTGAGTACTCAATCTTCAGCTCAGCTCAGTTGTGCTTTGCTCAATAAATTGGGTTAGAGAAAATGTGCAGGTATTTATCGTTTGCGGGTGAATAGGTATGAGAAGATTTTGTTTGTGATTGTTTTTTGCTTTGTGTGCTACTGGCAGCCATTTTGTATTTAAAAAGTGTGTTTGTCAGCATGCACCCGGCTTGGTTGGTGAGGATAGTCCTGTCCTTCAACTTTTTAATTGTTCTCACTAAGGCTGTAGGGATATGCAAATCTATATTTCAAAACTCGTCACTGGGTTGCCTGAACCACTAGTTGACTAGTCTAAAAATTGGTCTGAAATAAAAAATTGTTAATGTTAAAATCTTATTGTGACTCATCAATGTATATGATGTTTTTATTTTTTTGACTTTGAGTTAAATTTAAATGTCTTAGCTTACAGTGAAAAAAAAAAAACAGATTCTCTGTGACACGTCGGACATCGTGAATCATTTAGGCCTAGTCTCTTTAAATCCCATCTGTCCACAATCGACTACAAGCTTGCATTGATTTTTTTAAGTGCAACACCCATACTTCAAAATCCAATCAACAACCGATGAATAGAACTAAAACCCCTTAATTTTTTTATTTTTTATAAACTGTTATGTTCAGATATACATAATGCATCAGAAAATGTCGCTACTTTTATCGTGATGAAATGGAGGTAAAAAAAAAAGGCAATCCAAACTAAGGCAAAATTTGATATTTTGAAATTTGTCACATTTTCTGTCTTTATTTTGATGAGTGATTGAGTTGAGTCTGGGCACATGTTGCCTTAATTGAAACTTATTTATTTTATGCAGTGTTTTAGCAAGCTGAATGTCCCATGTACATTTAGGGTAAGAATCTTAAAAGCCTTGTGGTTAAACTGTTATGACTTGCAATGTAGATTAATGCCTTATATAGAGAATGGTTTATCGGCATTCAATCATGAGATTGAGCCAGGAAAATGTAATGTTAAAACAGTTGACCTTAGGTCAGTATTTCTTCTGCCAATTAATCCACATGTCAGCTTGTGAGAAGGTGAACTTATTGACTTGATTACTAGAATAGGTTAAGTTAAATCTAGAAGTGGCAGACTTTGTAACGAGTGATACTTGTTGTACTTTACTGTTCTCCCTGTTTGGAGTTATTTATAATTTAAGCTTGAAATATTGGGTTAATACGTCTGCCTTATGGTAACATTAAATCTAAACACTTATATATACTAATATATACTTAAATTCCTTTAAAGCTTGTTTATGTGTTTTGAGTTTTGAATTTGTGGTCCACTTAGTTGAACGTTGGAGGTGACCTTTCATGATGGTCAAATGAATGAAGCCTGTTCTGCTTTCAAAGGGCACATGTTATTTCAGGCCTAAGGCATGTGTGGAGTCTCATTGCTCTGACTGTAATGTGGATTGTGGACATCTACCATTTTTACCCCTCGCTGGCTAACACACTAAAACATTCCTCCCTCAGCAGCGGACAAAAAGGGAGCAGTACCTTACTCTTGTTTCAAAACCAAACACACTGAAAGCATGTGCTACACCGCAGGAAGCAACAACAGGTCTGGGGCTGATCTCGAAGTGTTCTTGTCATTGATGTGAAGGGTTGTTGTTCAAGCTGCTACGCACATACTTCCATGTCTTTCAGGGTGTGTGTATTGTTCTAAGGTGATCAGAAGAATTTCGCTGAAATTCTCCATGGGGGATTAGCATGGTAAAACCTTGTTTTTCTCCGGAGAACATGCTCCAAGTCTACATGAATGGCTTCAAAATAGGGGTCGACCGATATGTGTTTTTCAAGGCCGATACCGATTATTACAGATCAAGTAGACCGATAACCAATATTTTGAACCAATATAAATGTCTGGTTTAAAAATGAAGATTAATGTCAAAATTAAGAATAACAAGGGCTCTGACAAAAACTGCGTTCCCTGGTGTTGGTTGAGTGTAGTACCCCCTCAGTAAACTCTTTATTTTTTGGCAAACAAAGGGTTTACCATTAAAACATGGAAGAAATAGCGTATTGTGTGATTATTCTTTTAAACAAAAGTTGTAATCGTTGTAGTAGTCAGGGGTTGAAGCAAAAAAATAAAAATAATCTTTTGACTGAAAATTTTTCCTCGCCCAAACCCCATTCCACAGCCATACCTGTCACACACCCAGATTAAGAGCAGTGTTTTTCTTTTTGTAATCAGGAGTGCTTGTCCTCCTAATTAAAAAAATGAAGGAGCACCTTCTGATCAATAATCAAAAATTCTGATAAAAAATTAGCCTTCCTAATATGAGGTGAAGTGATTTACAGGGGCATTTTCTTTTTACCTTTTCAATGACATCATTTATAAGAATTTGTTTATAAGCTTTTTAAAATGTCTATTTAAAACAATATAATAAGTAGAATAAGACAAATAAGTTACCAATCATATGAAATTAGTATTAATGAATACAGGCTTGTAGGTAAATTTTCAGACATTTAATGAGGCTCAGAGGTGGCATGAGTGCAATTAAATTCATAAATTCATGTGGAGATTAATGTTTTAAATATACAATTTTGAATACAGAAATATTAAATGATTTAAATAACTGCAATTATACCTAAAAATGAAACTGAAACCGCCAGCAGGTGGCGGCAAATCACGGATTTTATCACTGAATCATTCATTCAATTGATTCATTTGAACGGCTGATTCATCTCTCAACACACACACACACTCACCCAGCCCCCACCACCCCTCCTTCCTCACACAAGAGGCAGAGTGGCAGAGTGAGATTAGATGTCTGATAGTTTTTTAATTTTCTGTTATCCATAGAGCGTTGTAAATTTGTGAAACTATGCCTATTTCCTCAGTATGACTTGTTCTATGTATGTAAAAAGTTTTGAACTGTTTGGAAGCTGCACTTTAATAATACAACACAATTACGCTTTCATTTTTTCCTGTTATTTTAATAAATCACCACGGCAAAACCGTTCAAGCTATAACAAAATCCATCCGCAATATAAGTTCCACAATGTTTTGGCATCATGTAGACAAAGTTTCGTGTGTATAGTGTAATTATTTGATTAATTGATTAAATCCAAACTTTGACAAATTCCGTGACATTCCGTGGCATACAGTAAATTCCATTTATATGACTGGATTCCATGATTCTGTCCGCGTTTTCCGCATCGCGGAAATAATAGAAAATATTGAGGTGTTTTTCAACTTCAGTGTAACGTTAGTGGATTGTGATTTATTGCAACTTAAGCAATGCCTGCTGCTGCCTTACCTTTGAGAGACAACTGATGCGTGATCACTGAAGCAGCTCCAGTTAGCAGCTTTCGGAGTGAACGTGAATTCCGCATTGATTGGTCGGACTTGTGACTCCCAATAATCAGATGGGCGGTGGGCGGAGAATGCTTTAGGCCACAGAGTGGTGAGTTCTGACAGGCTGCATCAAAGCCAAATAGCGCATTTCAAAATTAAGTTGATTTTATTGGCGAATCGGTTTTGAAAATGACCGATACCGATAATCTCAAAAATGCTTAATATCGGCCAGGCCGATAATCGGTCGACCCCTACTTCAAAATGGTTGTTTTTAGGTTCATTTTCTCTGTTCATGTCAATTGTTTATTCATAATCATAATCTTATGGCAAGTTTTAAAGGGATAGTTTGCTCAAAACTGAAAATCGCCCTCATGTGGTTCCAAATCTGATCAAAGACTTTCTTCTGGTGGAAATCAAAAGAAGATATTCTGAAAAAGTGTTTTGAATCCATTGAAATTGGTCAAAATAACTTTTATTTTTATGTTCCACAGTCGGGAATAAAAAATACTCATACAGGTTTGGTACGACATGATGGTGAGTAAATGATGACAGAATTTCCTGTTTTTAGTGAACTACCTCTTTAAGCTTCATCAGTCATCAACATTACAGTCATCCCTTTATTTCATGTTTATGTTCGATTTCATTTTTCATTGCATTTCTTGATATGCTAACCTTTGGTTTTAATGCATGCTTCAACTCATTGTCTTTTTAAAATGCTTGCTTCTAATGTTCTTCAGTTGGGTTTTGGTTATCGTGAAGCCTTGAAGTCTTGCATCATGATGCTCAAAATCCAGTTTGTTTTTTGTGTATGCCTTTGTTTTCCATTTTAACGTTTCTCTCTTTTTCTTTTCTCCTCTGCTGTTTCTTTTCTTCTTTGCCTGCCTGTCTGCTAATCATTATTCATATCATCTCAATGAACTGTCCACCCTAAACCCAAATCACCCATCAAATGTCCAGCGGGCTTCATAAAATCGCCCTTGTCTCAGATGAAACTCATAGAAGACAGTGCCGAGCTGGATTGCGAGGTCATAGGGAACCCAATCCCCGAAGTTCTGTGGTGGTTCATTGAGGGTGAAGAGCCGATTGAAACGGTCACTCAGCTGTTTGACGGTGCGAGAGAGGATTGCGTACACATCAATGCCACCTATATCAACCACGCCACCAGCACACTCATCCTCACCAACCTAACACTCAACGACACGGGTGTTTACGAGTGCCGTGCGTCAAACGACCCCGACCGCAATGACCTCAAGACCCCACCCAAAGTCAAGTGGATTCGCTCACAAGCGAACGTTATAGTGTTTGAACGTGAGTTACGTTGTGGTATCTCAACGTTTCCACTAGCGTATAGGAGGAAGTCCTGTAGATTCAGACTCTCCCTTGCCTTGCCCTCCGCCTTCCTTTTTTTCCTTTGACCAGGTCACATGACTACTTTAGCGCCATCTGTTCTTTCATAGTAATCTGATGCCTTCTGAGCATATCACTGTCTAGAGCTTGAGATGAAGTTGAACCTTTTAAAGAAATGGCATTGATCGGTTAATGTTACTGCCGGTCAGAAGGTGTTAAACGCACTAATTGGCCTTTATTTCTGAAAAAGGGCTCTGATTATGTCTCATTAACGTGGCTTGCTTTCAGTAAACATCTAAACAGCTCTTTAGATGTGTGGCTTAACCCTTCTGGTGGTCTTAGAGGAAAAACTAGTTCTTTTCACAATAGGTTTTCATAAGCTCATGGTCTCCAAACCAGTTGCTGGTTGGCTTATTTCGTTCCCTCTTCCCATTCGTTTTCATTACAAACTTCTCACTCAATGTTTCCCAGTAGCCCAAATGTACCTTCACTTCTCCTTTGATAGAGCACAATGTGCCTTACAGCACACATTGTGGTGAACATCCGGACAGCAATGTTCCGTTCCGTTCCGTTCCATCATGTGTCCAAAAATGTCATTTTTTTACAGTGCCACATCAAATCCAGAGGTTGGTAGAGTCATTTTCAGCAGTGAGCACTTGTTTTTTTTTTTTTTTTTCCTCCTGTTAAAGAGTCATAATGTTATGAAAGTTGATGTTTGTGTAACTTTTGCTACTTTTATGCCTTGACAGATGCAGCCATCACGACCAAACCAGAGGTGGTGAACGACCAGAACCAGACCTCTGCAACACTCAGCTGCAACCTTACCAACCCTTCTTCTCCCATCAAAGGCTATTATTGGACCCATAATGGCAAGACCATTGACAAATCAGAGTCAACCACTGGAAAAGCTTTCATTGAACACGAGTATGTTCCTCAACCTTATGTAAATGATTGTATCACTAAAGAAGAGTGAAATATAGCTCTCTAATTTCAGTATAAGTTTCTCAGATTTAGTGTTTACAGGTCTATTAAGTATAATGCAGCTGCTCAGTTTGTGCGATGGGGTTGTTAGCAGCAGTAGCGTGATTTACGAGCCTCCGGCACTCCACGTTCACTGACCCTAATTCCCATTAGAACTGCTGGGTCGGAAAAATATCCATGGGGATGCCTGAGCGGCGAATTGGAAAAGCTGTTTACTTTTATATTTAAAATTTCCTTTACTTGTATTGTCCTACCCTCCACCTTTATTGCTACGGTGCTGTTGTTATATTGAGGGATCTCAATTGGCATATAAAACTTTGTTAAAATTTGAAATCCTTTTTTTTTTTTTTTTTTTTTTTTTTTATCTAGCTGACATTTAAAGTTTATCTTGACCATTTTAAGCTTTTCTAGTAAAAGAAAGTTATTTGATTTTCA